CAGACAAGTTGAATCATATGTCAGTTTCCCTTCTTTATATATATAAAAATGGAAACTAATTCACAATATAGGCCAAAAGGAAATGTTTGACTCTATTACATGCTAGTTTTGAAAGCAGATTAAATACAGACATAAATTAACAAAGAATTCTAACTATAGGTGATGAGTGCAGATAGACACACTCAAACAATAGGAGCCTGGCTCTTCTACCTGGAAAGGCATAGTGAATGGATCACTAATTCATTCTTTCATTGTTATGGCTATAAAATTTCTTCAATGTCTTTCTAAATAACTTGGAAAACTAAAAATTTTCTAAAAATGTGATTTCTTTCTCTGTCAAGAGAAAAGGGGAACGGGTTTAAAAGTTCTTGGTGGTGAGAAGTAGCAACAGCACAGCTTAGCCACTCCAGCCTAAGTGATAGATGCAGGCCAAGAGAGACACCATCTGCGTGAGCCTCAGAATAACTCCACTGCTGATGCCAGTGCCATGAGGAAGTCTTTGAAGGCTTATTGCTCACTTCAAAAACTTAAACGGGCCTCCTGCTTTTTCAAAAGCTGGCATATGTTGGCATGCATAAGCAGAGCATTTATTCACCAACACACAAAACTGCAATCCAAAGGCTGTAATTTACTAGTATTTCATATTTTCACTTTCACTCACTATCAAAAGGCTTTTTTCCATTGGTAATGTTCAGGAAATAAAGAATATAGGCTTATTTATAGAGTAATTTTTTACTTAGTTGATGTTCTTTCTGGTCTAAAAACAACTGATAAAACAGTTACGAAAATAAAATATATATTCCTGTATCACAGACTTTCATGATTTATGTAATTATGATCTTCACTGATTTTGCTATGAGCAGGCTCTCTTTAGCTTGGTCACTTTCATGCCCAAGAATACAATTAAACAATTTATACTAGACCTTATGTTGCATTTGTTCTAGAAAAAACTCACTGTACTTTAAAAAAGTATCAAAGTTCCAGCTACTTCATGACATTATTTGACTAGATTTCATAATGGAAAGAGCACTCGAAAGAACAGATAAGCAATGAAAAGTTCTGCTTTTAGATACTCACTGTTATATTTTTGTTTTGACCTATTGTGGCTCTGGGACACTGCATGCCAGACAAGTGCTTTACCGCTGCGCCACACACATTCCCAGCCCTTTATCATTGTACTTCTCTGCACTTCTTTTGGGGGGTTGGTATAAGCTTGCTACAGTAGCAGTCATTCCGTATCTCTGTATGGTAGAGTCACATTCTGTACTTCCACATGAGCCTTGATACTCCAGTTCATGCTGCTGTCTCAAACTGCTCTATTATTGCTATAAGTACTTTGCAGTTTAAGGCCTATTTCTGAGCAATAGATTCATTCTTGTAAATTGGAGACAAAATAGCATAATATTAACACCAAAATATAAATAAATTATAAACATGTAAGCAATCATATGCAAACACCATGAAAATGGTAACAGCAGAGATAACTAACTGTATCCTATGAGTGACTAATGTTTTTTTTTTTTTTGTCCAACAATTATTGAGCTGATTTCCTAAAAAAAAAAAAATGGGATTTTGTAGCTTTTTTCTTTAAAATCATAAACTTCTTGGGTCCTAGTTGCTGGAATTCCATTGACTACTATAGGTTCAGGCATGTCAAAAAAATAGAAAACTGGAAAGAACAAAGAATATTTATCTCTTCACTTTTCTGTTCATTAAGTTTTTTTCTGATAATGAATTCAAAATAAAATACTTTTCAAGATTTTTCTTTTTCTTTCTTTCTTTCTTTTTTTTTTTTTTTTTTTGTTTTTTTGGAGAGAGGACCTTACTTCATGGCCCAGGCTGGTCTCCCAAACTTGAGATCCTTCTGCCTCAGCCTCTGAAATAGCTGAAATTATATTCACACACTGAAAAACTTCAGTTATGCTGTTAATGTGCCCTGAGTTTACAGACTAGCTAATAACCAAGACTGAATAGAATAATTCCCTTTGGATCTGTAGAATTATTTTAAAAACTTGGTGTGTATATATGTTTGTGTGCCCACACATGTACGTAGGATGAGAACAACCTGTAGGAGTTCTGTCCTTTTACCGTGTGGTTTCTGGGGGACTGAACTCAAGCCCACTTACCACTCAGTGGTAAGTACCTTTACCTGTTGAGCCATCTCACGAATGTAGACTCCTTAAGCAAGAATAATTTCACAGTATTAGGTATGTAGCTCAGTTGTAGAATACCTGTCTAGTCTCAAAAAAGAAAAATTTTTAAAAAGAGAATTATTTTACTTACTTAATAAAATATTAGATGTGTGGCTGTTAAGTGGCATCATATTTGAGTACTGAGCCAGATAAATAAAATATGTAAATAAAATTCATTTTCTCATGTAGTTTATATTATAGATAGACAATAAGCAAAATAAATAAATAAATAAATGTCAGAAAAGAGTTAAGAAAAATGAAGCAGAGAGTGACCTGGGGATATCTAAGCAGGAATCTGGAAGTGAGGGTGAATCAGTGTGATGTGAATGGAAACCTGGAGGAGAGCATTCTGTGTCAGGGGAGGAAGAGCACAGCACCCGAAGCAGAAATGGGCCTCCTCTCACAGTGAGGAGAGGCAGAGGGCAGAGAGTTAATGTTAGCAAGCAAGGATAGGAATGACAGGTTGGTTCAACATATGTAAATCAATAAATATAATTGCACCATTTAACTATACTTAAGGACAGAAATCACATGATCATCTTGATAGATACAGAAAAGGAGTTTGACAAAGTTGAAAATACCTTAATGATAAAACTACTGGAGAGCCAGGTGGTGGTGGCTCACACCTTTAATCCCAGCACTAGGGAGGCAGAAGCAGGTGGATCTCTGTGTTTTCGAAGCCAGCCTGGTCTACAGAGCTAGTTCCAGGACAGCTAGGACTGTTACACAGAGAAACCCTGTCTTGAAAAACAAACAAACAAACAACCCCCCCAAACAAAAATAAAACAAAAAAAAAACAAACCAAAAAAATTCCTGGAGAAATTAGAAATAGATGGAAAATACCTCAAAATAATAAAAACTATATATTAAAAGGAAAAAATGCTAGCATTTTGTCTAAAATTTGGAACAAGACAAGGATGCTCACTCCCTCCACTTTTCTGAGTCTTAGCTAGAGCAGTAAGAAAAGAGAAAGATATAAAAGAGATACAACCAGGAAAAGAAATAAAACTCTCTCTTTGCTGATGACAAAATCCCATACTTAAAGACCATGCCACAGTTGGGTGGTAGGGCGCATGTCTTTAATCCCAGCACCTGAGATCAGAGGCAGGCAGATTTCTCTGAGTTCAAGATCAGCCTGGTCTACACAGTGAGTTCCAGAAAAAAACCCTTACATTTTATTTTAAAATTTAATCCTTCCTTCCTTCCTTCCTTCCTTCCTTCCTTCCTTCCTTCCTTCCTTCCTTCCTTCCTTCCTTCCTTCCTTCCCTCCTTCCCTCCTTTCCTCCCTCCCTCCCCTGTCTGTCTCTCTGCCTCTGTCTCTCTCTCATGTACACACATGCCATGATGTGTGAGTACGGAGGTCAGAGATCAACTTATGGGAGTTGGTTCTCTTTTTCCACCGTGTTGTTTCAGGTACCAAACTCAGGTCATTAGGTTTGCTGGCTAGGGTGCTGAGCCTTTTTTGTTTGTTTGTTTGTTTTGGAAACAGTGTCTTTCTGTGTAGTCCTGGAACTTGCTTTGTAGACTTGAATGGCTTTCAATTTCATAGAGATCCACCAGCCTTTGCCTTCTTAGTGCTTGGATTTAAAAGCAGGCATCACTGTCTAGCTGCTGAGTTTTCTTACTGGCCAACATCTTACAAAGTTTTCTAGCATCAAAAGAAAACCAATGGAAAAGCAAAGAAAGATATTTTGACAAGAGGAAACTACTCAAATAATGCAGGAGCCAATTATTATATTAGAACCATACTCTCAAAATGACAGAATTCTCCCTAGAGGAGACTACCCTGTTGAGCTGTTATCTAAGTAAGCCACTGGCAAAGGTTGTCTCACTTGAATCTGTCTGTGAGTATGAAGTGTGCCTTGAGCTTGTGTTTTGAATACCCATTTGGGCTGAGGCACCACTGTGCTGGCCTGTACCCTCTTACTCATGATGACATTTACCTGTGACTCACTAGATCAGACTGTACTTCAGAAACAAGGAGTGCGAGCATCTCACAAACTGGAGTTGTGAGCATGCTATTCTAGATTCCTACATGATTTGTTCTCTATTTACACATAAGATATATCTCCGTATCTCTAGACACAATGTTAGGGATCTAGAAACATCATTTTTGAGGAGATAAACTGCTAACAATTATTTTCAGTATTACTTGAAAATGCTAAAGCTCAACCAAATATGAACATTTCTAAGAGCAAAGACACTGGATAGAAAGGTGGATTAGAGGTTAAGAGCACTGGCTGCTCTTCCAGAGGATCCAGGTTCAATTCCTAGCACCCACATGGCAGCTCACAACATTCTTGAAGCTCCAGTGGGAATCTGATCCCCTCTTGGCTTCCTCAGGAACCACATGCACATGAGCACAGACCCTCATGGAAGTGAAACACCCACACAAATAAAAATAAGTCTCAGAAAAGAGTAATTATATGTTTCATAATACCGGACAGAATATCAGTGCAATTTTATACCACAGAACTCTGTTAAGTATTGACCCACATATGAAAGGATATGAATACAAATAAAATATTACCCATTTATTTTTACTTTTTACCTTCTTTCCATTTAAAATAATCATTATAGTACAAATTACCTTCTGTACAACAATGTGAAAGTCTGGATGGTAGATAACAATAAAGAGATGACTTAAGCAGTTTTATTATGACAAATCAGTACTGATCTTACCGTGGTGATATAGCGGGAATGGAATTCCGGAGCATCTTTCAGGAAGGTGAGGCCAGGGTGTGTATCTACCACATCCTTAAAAAGATTGAAATCAAAACAAAGTTAAAAAACATTAAAAAATTCTTCAGAAACTTTTCCTTCTTGTGGAAAAAGCAGATAGTTGAGCAAATATTCTATTCTGGAATACTGTACAGTACACTGAAAATTTAAGCATGTTTATAATACATGATTTTCTACACACACAATATGCTTAAATACAAAATTTTAAATTAGCTATATTTGGTGATGTGTGAATCAAATGTTTTAGAGGTATGTATTGTAATTCTAACACATTAAGGGTTGTTTGGAAAAGTTATCCTACAGATCTTGGTAGAGTATACTAAGAATAATGACAGAGACAAGCCAATGAAAATGATTTTCTTTCTTAATCTATAGGCATCAAATTTTTGGGAAAAAATAGCACAAAGTCAAGTTAATGCCCATCAGTTTTTATTAAAATAGTTGTAGCCAGGTGTGCTAGCGTACTTGCATTTCTACAAATGAGAAGAGACAAGACTGATCTACAGAGTGAGACCATATTTCAAAAGGAAAAAAGAGCCTTTTCGTCAAGATGGCGCTGAAAGCGAAGAAGGAAGCTCCCGCCCCTCCCAAAGCTGAAGCTAAAACGAAGGCCTTGAAAGCCAAGAAAGCAGTGCTGAAAGGCGTCCACAGCCACAAAAAGAAGAAGATCCGCACATCGCCCACCTTTTGGCGGCCCAAGACCCTGCGGCTACGAAGGCAGCCTAAATACCCCCGGAGGAGCGTGCCCAGGAGGAACAAGCTTGACCACTATGCCATCATCAAATTCCCCCTGACCACCGAGTCAGCAATGAAGAAGATAGAAGACAACAACACACTTGTGTTCATTGTGGACGTCAAGGCCAACAAGCACCAGATCAAACAGGCTGTGAAGAAACTCTATGACTTCGATGTGGCCAAAGTCAACACCCTCATAAGGCCCGACGGAGAGAAGAAGGCGTATGTTCGGTTGGCTCCTGATTATGATGCTCTGGATGTTGCCAACAAGATTGGAAGGAGAGAAGAAGGTGTATGTTCGGTTGGCTCCTGATTATGATGCTCTGGATGTTGCCAACAAGATTGGAATCATCTAAACTGAGCCCAGCCGGCTAATTCTAAATATACACTTTTTCACCATAAAAAAAAAAAGGAAAAAAGAGATTATTCAGAAAAAATTGTTTTCAATTTAAGATTTTGTTTACCTAAAATCCATTATCTTGTTCTCATGGCAGATTATGAGATAAAACTTTTTTTATTGTCTAGCTGGAATTTGAAAGAACCTGTGACCTTAGAGACTGTTAAGAGAGTCTCTAGGTTTCTTCTAAATTAATAGCCAGAGGCAACTACAATACCTACCAAAACAGGCATATGATGTGTGATGTCCTGTCTATATATGTTGCTTTTACTGGTTGAGGAATAAAGATTTTGGGGCCAATGGCTTAGCAGCATAAAGCCAGGCAGGAAATCAGAACAGAGATAGAGAAAGAGTAGACAGAGTCAAAGAGACACCATGTAGCTACTAAAGGAGAAGGACTGGATGGACCCTTACTGGTAAGCCACAGCCTCATGGTGATACACAGATTAATAGAAATGTGCTAACTTAAGATGTAAGAGCTAGCTAGAAATACTCTTGAGCCATTGGCCAAACTGTGTTGTAATTAATATAGTTTTTGTGTGATTATTTGTGTCTGGGCAGCCGGGAAACATTAAGAGCAGTCTCAGGTTACAGACATATCTATATTTTACTGCTTATGGTTTGTATATTTGAAAATAATTTTAAATTTTCAGATGAATTGTGAAAAATATTGCAGATAAATTCTCTATGCCTTTTTTCCAGATTCCAGAGACAAGTAACAAATCACAGAACGATTATCAAAACTAGGAAATAAACATCTATATAGCACTGAACTACAGACCTTATTCAAATGTCAACATTTCCCAATTCTGTTCCTCTAGTCTACTACATGTAGTCTTTTTTTTTTTTATGGTTTCTCTGGTCTCTGTTCTGTTTGGTCCTTCTGTATTTCATGAGTACAGTGTTTTTAATGAATTCTGGTAAATTACACCTCTTGGTTTGGTTTTGTCTTAAGTTTTCTTCAAGTAGAAGCTTCTTCAAGTTTTCTTCACACATTTTCATCAGAAATACTATAGAAGCGATGCTGTGTCCCTTTTCGGTGCACCACACAGGCAATATATGATTAGTTTTATGGCTCAAATTGATCTAGCTTTGGCTATCTGGAACTTTTTCATTTAGGAGCCTGTGTCTGTCTGACTGCCCTGTCCTTTTGCACTTCAAGCTCATCTTGTATTTTCCTTTCCCCATGTATCTCCCTTCTCCCCAAGAATCTGTAGTCCACTTTACTGGAGAGGAATTTTAGAAATGGAGCCTAGGTACTATGTGTGTTCACTATTACTCAGTATCATTGCTTTCAGACGCTATTAGCAAGCATAACTAGGAAATACATGTATGTGCCTTTGTGAAACTTTATGAATATATATCAAATACTGTGTATTAACAAGTAACTCTGATTCCAATCCAATACCACAAAGTTTACTTAAACCTTCCATCTTTCCTTTGTAACTATAAAAGTGAGAGACCTGGCTCTCATCTCAAATGTAGCTACTTATTTGTTCAATTCTACTATACCAAGAGAACCACTAACACCAGTGAGAAATAAATATACTCAATATATTATTTGTATACAGTTCATTTGGTCTTTTAAAATAATTTTTTTGTTTGTGAATTTTACACATATCTACAATGGGCTTTGATCAAATGGATCCTCCCATTCCCTTCTTTCCAATTCTTCCCTTATTACCCATCATTCTTCATTTCATGTCTTCATTTTTAAAACTCACCAGGTCCACTTAGTGCTGCATGCATGTGCATGAGTGGAGGACCATTTATTGGAGCATGGGTAGTTTCTCAAGGGCCACCTCCCTGAAGAAAACTGACTTCCCCTCCTTTAGCAGCCATCAATTGCCAATAGCTCCTCAGTAAGGACTTCATGAGCTCCTCCCTGACCCATGCTGAGATTTTTGTCCACTTGATTTTGTGCAGGTATTGTGCATCCAGTCACCGCTGCTATAAACACATACATGCAATGTCCCTGTCATATCTGGCAAACTCTGTTTTCTTTGGCTCTTACAATCATTGTGCCCCTCTTCTGTAATAATCCTTGTCCCACTTAGAGCTGAGAATTCCACAGTCTTATGCTCTGCACACTGACCAGCTGTGGATCTTTGTATAATTGCTATCTACTGCAGAAAAAAAGCAGAATCTAGGTTCTCAGCAAGTGCTTTTCATCACTGAGCCATCTCTCTAACCCCAAATCTTCTGGGATAAATGTCACTGGGTCATAGCATATTCTATTTGGTAGCATTTTTATCACTAATCATGAAATTGCATTTATTTGTAGTTTTCTTTGTACTGTGGTTACCTGACTTAGGTACCAGTGATGTTCATTTCAGAAATAACCTATAGAATATCCATTTTAATACTGCAATGATTTAGAAAACATTAGACTACCTAGTCTGAAGATTTGATCAATTTCCCCTATGAAGCACTTAGCATTGGTTCCTTTTAGAGAAGTAGTTTATTACCAAGAGAAGGGCCTATCACTGACATCATCTGAAGGCTTCTCATGTGGAGTGCTGGCATCACACCAATGTGAAGATAAAATGAGGAAACTGGAGAGAGGCGGGATCATGTCCCTGCAGGGAGAAGGAAGAATACGTGGCAGGTATCTTTCCTTGTTGGATTGTAGTCACTGGTATCAGTCCGACTCTGAGTTTGGTCCTACATGTCAGACAGTTGCACTTTACATTCTATTTGTGTTCTACCTACCACCCAGTGTGTCTTTCACAAAGATGAAGTCATGGGTGAGGCATGTATTCCAGTAATTAGGACAGAACTTGGGCATGTTGCTCTGCAGACCATCAGCGACTCTGTTCCAAGCCCACTACCACAATGACACACACGACTATAAAATAGTCTTTTGTGACTTTAAGTTTTCTTCTGTTTCAATGTAGGCATTTGCTATTTGATAATATTAGCATTTTATTCATTTTGTCTTTTGAAAATGTATTTGGGGACAGAGAGATGATCCAATGGTTAAGAGCATTGGCTGATCTTCTAGATGACCTGAGTTCAATTCCCAACACCCACATGGTGGCTCACAACCACTTGTAACTATAGTCCCAGGGGACCTAACACCCTCCTCTGGCCTCCATGGGCACCAGGCACACATGTGGTGGACAGACATACAGACAAAGCACTCATACACATAAAATAAGTAAACAAAAAAATTTTAAAACTTTTTCTTTTTTTAAAATATTTATTTATTTATTTATTTATTTATTTATTTATTTATTTATTTATTTAGTATACAACGTTCTGTCTGTGTGTATGTCTGCAGGCCAGAAGAGGACACCAGACCTCATTACAGATGGTTGTGAGCCACCATGTGGTTGCTGGGAATTGAACTCAGGATCTTTGCAAGAGCAGGTGATGCTCTTAACCACTGAGCCATCTCTCCAGCCCCAAGTAAACAAAATTTTAAAGTGTACTTACTTCTTTTAAAATTAATTTTTAAAGTTAGTATATGTTGGGAGTATATGTTGGTCAGAGGTTACATTCTGCTATACTCTGGCAGCTTTCTTTAAGCTTGGCAACATGGAAGACTCCCCTCTTCCCTCAGTGAGGCTTCCTGCTCTCTACCTAGCATTAACTGATGGCTGTCTCTAGGCCTGGATGCCTGATGTATCTCAGGGATGACCCTTTACACAGTTCCCTGCAAACGCTCTTCCCCTACTGACCACATGGTAATCAGGCAAATGCTCTAGCCATTTTGATAGGGCTGTGCTTCTACTAATCCAGCTATTACATGATAATAGTCTGCCACTTAATGCAAATTCAGGTTTGTCCTGTGGCTTCCCATTGTTATATATTTCTATACTCTGGAAATCAAGTTGAGCTGATTCACTGAGGTCACATCCCAGATGGCTATCTCTATCATATCCGCAACCATCTGAACCCTGATCCCTGCGTCTGCTCCTTCCACCCTCATGGACTGATGGCTGACCACCCCAAGGAAGAAGCAGAACTACAAGTATACCACTGTTGCTGGTTCCTTTCTCTCAAAAAAATCCTTCCCTTCTATCACATATATTTTGTTATCCTTTCTTTCTCTGAATCCTGTAAGTTCCTTCCTAGCCTCCTTTCTACTTTCATGACACTCCTTTATGTCATGTGATGCATGCGTTTGTGTGTGTGCATGCACACACACACATTTAAACCTAGAACCCACATGAGAAAAAACATACATGATTTGTCTGGGTCTGGCTTATTTCACTTAATGACCTCAAGTCCTTTTATGTTTTCTGCAAATGTCATGATATAATTTCTTTTACAGGTAAAAAATATTCTGTTGTGTATATGTACAACCCCATTTTCCTTTGATTAAATTAGTTGTTGGTCTATTTTGTTAATATTGTCAAGCACTAAGATTTCAATGTAAGCCTTTAATCCTATCACTCCAGAGTCAGAGGAAGGCAGATCTGGTCTACATGGGGAGTTCCAGGCCAGCCAGGGCTACATAGTCAAACAATGTCTCAAAATAAAGACAAAAACAAAACAAAACAAAACAAGATTTTGATTTAGCAAAAATGCTACTGATTTTCTATTCTCTGTCTCTTTAGCTCTTGATCAATATTGGGGCTAGGTTGACAAGTAGATTTTTTCCCCCCTCAATTTGTGTATGTGCAAAATCTCCATAACAAGACTATGCAGCGTGACACACCTCTAAACTAGCACTCAGGAGTTTCAGCAGAAGGACTGTGAGTTCAAAACAGTTTACACTCCATGGTGAGTTTGAAGTCAGTTTTAGCTATAAGACTGTAAAATCATTTCTCAAAAAACACATTGCAGCTGGGCATGCTGGCACATCATGGATTAAAGAATAGCACTCAGGATGCAGAGACTAGCAGATCTCTTTGAGTTTGAGGCCTATATAGTAAGTTTCAGACCAGCCAGAGATACTTAAGGAGACCTTGCCTCAAAAACAAAACAAATCAACCAAAACAATAAAACACTTTTCATAGTTAAAAACTTTGAAGAATTGGGTGGGTTATATAGCTTAGTTTGTAGAGTGCCTAGGATGTATGAAATCCTTGGTTCAATGTCTAGCATCTCATAGCCCATCTGTGGTGGTGCATGTCTATAATCCCAGTACTTGGGAAGAAGGCAGAAGAATCAAGAGTTCAAGGTCATTCATATCTTTTTGTTTTGTTATCCACTTATTTCAACTATGGCTCTGTGAGTGATCACAGGTTTGGAACTATCAGCAAGAGTCTGGTAGGCTCATCAAAGCCTACCAACTACCAAATGAAATGACTGTCCCTTCTTTAGAATCTATCAGCAGCCAGTAATTCAGCAGGTAAAGTATGCAGGTTAGTTTCTGTCAATACAAATCTAGACATTTGTGGGAAGAGGGATTTCAACTGAGAAACTGCCTCCATCAGATTGGCCTGTAGGCACAATTATGGAGCATTTTCTTGGTTAATGATTAATGTGGGAGGGCCCAACTCACTGTGAGAGGTAGCACCGATGGTCAGGTGATCTTGAGTGGTATAAGACAGTAAGATGAAGAAGCCATGGAGAACAAGCCAATAAGCAGCTTTCCTCCATAATTCCTTCCTTGACTTCCTCAGTGATGGACTGTGATTGGGACATGTAAGTCCCAATAAACCCTTTCCATTTCAAGTTGCTTTTGGTTAGTTTTATCAATGAGAAGCAAACTAGGGCAGAGGTTATAGTCCCATGAGCCCCCTCCCTGATGACAGGCCCAGTCTTGTGTATGCCCAGTGCAAACAATGCTAGCTGCAGTTAGACCATATTTGCAAGGGCTGTGTCATGAAATGACAGCCCTTCACAGTCCTTCTCCCAGTCTTCCAGCTCTTAATTTTTTCTGCTCCCTTGCCCGTGATGTTTTCTGGGCTTCATATAGTGTGGTATAAGTGTCATATTTAGAGCTGAGCACCCGGTGATCACTTTTTCTCAGAATCCTGAGCAGTCATAATACTCATTTTTTCATGTGTGGTGAGAGCATTGAAAACCTATTCTTGGACATTTTCAAGAATATACATTATAGTCAGGTATCGTGGCACACACCAAATCCAAGTACTTGGGAGGCATAGGCAGGAGGATTTCTGAGTTCGAGGTCAGTGTGGTCTACAGAGTGAATTTCAGAACAATTAGGACTATACAGTGAGATCTTATCTCAAAACAAAACAAAAAGAATACACATTGTTATTGATTATATTCAGTGAATTGCACAATAATCTCTTGAACATACTCCTATCTAAAAATTTGGATCCTTGCTGAATATCTTCCCCAGCACTATGGGTGACAAAGACAGGAGGGTCACTGATACTGAGTTCCAGGTTCAGTGAGAGATCGTCTCAGAGGAATCAGGTGGAGAGTGAAGAGCAGGGTATTACCCTCTGGCTTCCATGAGTACAGAGTGCACCCTTAGAATGCGTGCACAACACACACACACACACACACACACACACACACACACTTTCTCTTAGATTCTGGGAGTGATTTATTGTAAAAAAGAAGCAAAGAAGGATATGGTCATGGATCACTGCTACTTCAATAATAACCCTCAAATTCAACCCGTGGTACAGCTCCACGCTGAAGGAACCTCAGTTAACATTTTCTTCCAGACTGGTATATAAGGGCTGATGTTAAAAAACTTCAAAAAGTGAAAGAAAAGAAAAACTTCTTAAAAAATTGTTTTTAGATTTCTTTACTATTTTATGTGTTATGAGTGTTGTGTCTGTGCACCACATGTCCTGTGCTCACGGAGGCCAGAAGAGGATGTTGAAGCTATCATGTGGGTGCTGAGAATCAAACCCAGGTCCTCTTCAAGAGCAACAGTGCTCTTAACCATTGGGCCAATGCCCCATCCCAAAGATACTTATAGTTCTGAGATTTATTCTTAAAAATCTGAGCTATATCCTTTCTACATGTAGAAAACACATTTGTAAACAACAGATTTTTAACATCTTAGAAACAGAAAAGAAAAAATGAGAAATGTACTATTGTTTCATTTATTTGGCTCCATTAGTGAAAATTGTTTCACATGAGTGAGTACTTTGGAAGAGTAATACAGAGTCTATGCAAATAATATAAATTACTAATCTCCCTGAAATCTGATGATAGTAGTAGGGCCCATTGCCCTTAACCTAAATTATTCCTAGGCTGCTGTGCTCTCACAGGCAGGCTTTGTTTCTTTTTTTCTCCCCTACAAGTACATTCCCCCCACTCTGTTCCTGTCTACCTTTATGGGCTGGTGGAAACTGTCTTTGCAGACCTCACCATGCTTGATTCAAGTTTCCATTCTTTTACTCCATTATTCACTCATTCAATGGTTTCTTGAGACAGATCTGGGTATGTTATGTAGCATAGGTTACATTCTCTCGCTCAGGCTCCTAGAGCCAGGATTACAGGAAGGCACTGGCATTCGCCACCATGCACAGCTTCTTCCTGTT